TGATGGCAGACAATCTTTCTTCCTGTTGTTGGGCTTGTTGACCCTGACAAATTAAAACCCGGTGATCTTGTTGGTGTTAACAAGGATAGTTACTTAATCTTGGATACCCTGCCTTCTGAGTATGATTCTAGAGTTAAGGCAATGGAAGTCGATGAAAAGCCCACAGAAGATTACAATGACATTGGTGGATTAGAAAAGCAGGTGAGCATTGATTATTGCCTTAATTTATGGAATTCTAGTTTTTTTGGTGTTAGGTAATGCAATCTCTGAATTATTCAATAAATTGGTCTTTCTCCACAGATTCAAGAATTAGTCGAAGCCATTGTTTTGCCCATGACCCACAAGGAGCGGTTTCAAAAGTTAGGAGTTCGTCCTCCCAAGGGAGTGCTGTTATATGGACCTCCAGGGACTGGGAAAACATTGATGGCCCGTGCCTGTGCAGCACAGACAAATGCCACTTTTCTGAAATTGGCAGGTCCTCAACTGGTCCAGGTATGACAATCTATTTCTATTTATTTTTCATTCTTCCCCATTATATAACTCTAAGCATGAACAATTCTGTTTATACCAACTGAATGTTCCATTTTTACGTGTCTGTAACTTCTGTTCCTTTTCTAATATAAGTGAATAATCAGTACATTTTCCCATTGATCATTATTGTTCAGTTTCTTTTGGAAAAATTCTTCCTATTATGTATGTCTGGATTTCTTCTTATGTTTTAATATTTGGAGTACTACCTTAACCGCATTAAATAGCACCTGTTTAATCCGACACTTCTGAGTAGACAAGATTCTTTTCCTCTATTTCACTTGAACACTGATACCTTTGTTGTTTGTATTAGTGCGTATTGATGAGTTTTCTGTTAGAATGATAACAAGGAGTTTTATGCAGATGTTCATAGGAGATGGAGCAAAACTTGTTCGTGATGCCTTTCAACTAGCAAAGGAGAAGTCACCATGCATTATATTTATAGATGAAATTGATGCAATTGGTACAAAGCGTTTTGATAGGTATTAACCTGCAATAATTTAGATCTACATTTTCAATTGACTGACTACTCCCTCTCTGTCTTGAGAGTGTGTTACTCTAGTTAAAGTGTAGTGGCTCAGCAACCTTTATATTTATCTTGTGGCTGATTGCAGTGAAGTAAGTGGAGACAGGGAGGTACAACGGACAATGTTAGAATTACTTAATCAGCTTGATGGTTTTAGCAGTGATGACAGGATTAAGGTTTACCTTTAATTCTTGTTATTTTTTATTTTCTGTTGATGTCATCCAACTATGCTTGTTGTCTTCCGGCAAAGAGTAAAAGTGCATGTTATTTTTTAAATCCAATGTTTTGGGGCTGGTTTCTTAATTCTATAACTTCCATTTATATCAATTTAAACCGTGAAAATATTCAGTAGTTGGCATCTAATTTTCTGGATTTTTTGTTATGTTAGGCAATAAGTTGAAGTTCCATTTTCTTATATTGATTTAAATTGCAGGTGATAGCAGCAACAAATCGTGCAGATATTCTTGACCCCGCCCTTATGCGTTCTGGTCGATTGGATCGTAAAATTGAGTTTCCACACCCAAGTGAAGAAGCAAGAGCCCGTATTCTCCAGGTTTGATGTCTTCAGACTTTATCTGCTGACATGTATTTCGAACAAAACATTTACTGACTGCTCTTACTTTGATATTTTAGATCCATTCAAGGAAGATGAATGTTCATCCAGATGTGAACTTTGAAGAACTCGCACGGTCCACGGATGATTTCAATGGAGCACAACTGAAGGCTGTCTGTGTTGAGGCTGGCATGTTGGCTCTACGCCGTGACNATTCCTTTACAGAGGAACAAAAGCACGCCTTCGTCTTCGTTGGAAACACTTTAAGTATCGCAGTTGTCCTTGGTTTTCTCTTTTATCTTTCCCCAAATTGTGAGTGTTAGTGTTGAATCGCTTGAAAGAAGCAATTGAAATGGCGAGCGCGATGGTAGAGGATGCGACCTTCGAAGATGATCAGTTGGCTAATATGACCACCGACGACGTCGTTAGAGCTTCACGTCTTCTCGACAACGAGATTCGCATTCTCAAGGTACAACTTCTTCTTTCTGTTTCGCTTTCTCTATTTCTGTAACCCTAACCCTATCGATTACCCTATTAGTTTGCTCTGTTCGATTTCATCTTCTTAGCGTTAGGGTTTCTGGTTTTGATTGAAAATTTTCCCGTGGCTGAAGGAAGAGTTGCAGAGGACCAATTTGGAATTGGAATCTTACAAGGATAAGATCAAGGAGAATCAGGAAAAAATTAAGCTCAATAAGCAGTTGCCCTACCTCGTTGGTAACATTGTTGAGGTATATGTTATTCGTTTATCTAGTTTAGATGTTGTATTTAGGGTTTCTGGAGTTCGAATTCTGAATATTGTGGAATATGATGGAAAAAGTTGTTGTTCATTTGTTCGCATTCTTATTGGGTTATTATGTTGTAATTGTTTTGCATTTAGATATTGGAAATGAACCCCGAAGATGAAGCTGAAGAAGATGGTGCAAATATTGATCTTGATTCGCAAAGGAAGGGGAAGTGTGTTGTCTTGAAGACTTCTACTCGACAGGTGAAATGGTTGATTATTGTAATATTGTTGGCAAAGGACATTATTCTTATTCAAATTTCAAGTCTGTTACTATTTCAAAGTTTTAGACGGTTGGTTTTGTTATGGCTATTTTTATCTCGTGCTTTTTGTGAGAATAGCTATTGGTATACTTTCTGTAATGTCGAGCTTAATAATGCTTTCTTTTGATGGCAGACAATCTTTCTTCCTGTTGTTGGGCTTGTTGACCCTGACAAATTAAAACCCGGTGATCTTGTTGGTGTTAACAAGGATAGTTACTTAATCTTGGATACCCTGCCTTCTGAGTATGATTCTAGAGTTAAGGCAATGGAAGTCGATGAAAAGCCCACAGAAGATTACAATGACATTGGTGGATTAGAAAAGCAGGTGAGCATTGATTATTGCCTTAATTTATGGAATTCTAGTTTTTTTGGTGTTAGGTAATGCAATCTCTGAATTATTCAATAAATTGGTCTTTCTCCACAGATTCAAGAATTAGTCGAAGCCATTGTTTTGCCCATGACCCACAAGGAGCGGTTTCAAAAGTTAGGAGTTCGTCCTCCCAAGGGAGTGCTGTTATATGGACCTCCAGGGACTGGGAAAACATTGATGGCCCGTGCCTGTGCAGCACAGACAAATGCCACTTTTCTGAAATTGGCAGGTCCTCAACTGGTCCAGGTATGACAATCTATTTCTATTTATTTTTCATTCTTCCCCATTATATAACTCTAAGCATGAACAATTCTGTTTATACCAACTGAATGTTCCATTTTTACGTGTCTGTAACTTCTGTTCCTTTTCTAATATAAGTGAATAATCAGTACATTTTCCCATTGATCATTATTGTTCAGTTTCTTTTGGAAAAATTCTTCCTATTATGTATGTCTGGATTTCTTCTTATGTTTTAATATTTGGAGTACTACCTTAACCGCATTAAATAGCACCTGTTTAATCCGACACTTCTGAGTAGACAAGATTCTTTTCCTCTATTTCACTTGAACACTGATACCTTTGTTGTTTGTATTAGTGCGTATTGATGAGTTTTCTGTTAGAATGATAACAAGGAGTTTTATGCAGATGTTCATAGGAGATGGAGCAAAACTTGTTCGTGATGCCTTTCAACTAGCAAAGGAGAAGTCACCATGCATTATATTTATAGATGAAATTGATGCAATTGGTACAAAGCGTTTTGATAGGTATTAACCTGCAATAATTTAGATCTACATTTTCAATTGACTGACTACTCCCTCTCTGTCTTGAGAGTGTGTTACTCTAGTTAAAGTGTAGTGGCTCAGCAACCTTTATATTTATCTTGTGGCTGATTGCAGTGAAGTAAGTGGAGACAGGGAGGTACAACGGACAATGTTAGAATTACTTAATCAGCTTGATGGTTTTAGCAGTGATGACAGGATTAAGGTTTACCTTTAATTCTTGTTATTTTTTATTTTCTGTTGATGTCATCCAACTATGCTTGTTGTCTTCCGGCAAAGAGTAAAAGTGCATGTAATTTTTTAAATCCAATGTTTTGGGGCTGGTTTCTTAATTCTATAACTTCCATTTATACCAATTTAAACCGTGAAAATATTCAGTAGTTGGCATCTAATTTTCTGGATTTTTTGTTATGTTAGGCAATAAGTTGAAGTTCCATTTTCTTATATTGATTTAAATTGCAGGTGATAGCAGCAACAAATCGTGCAGATATTCTTGACCCCGCCCTTATGCGTTCTGGTCGATTGGATCGTAAAATTGAGTTTCCACACCCAAGTGAAGAAGCAAGAGCCCGTATTCTCCAGGTTTGATGTCTTCAGACTTTATCTGCTGACATGTATTTCGAACAAAACATTTACTGACTGCTCTTACTTTGATATTTTAGATCCATTCAAGGAAGATGAATGTTCATCCAGATGTGAACTTTGAAGAACTCGCACGGTCCACGGATGATTTCAATGGAGCACAACTGAAGGCTGTCTGTGTTGAGGCTGGCATGTTGGCTCTACGCCGTGACGCAACTGAGGTTTATCTTCTTCCAGATAGGCTAAACTTAAATTAACATAAACATCAATGTTTGAAAGAAAATTAGCACCGTTATTTGTCTGGGCGATAGTAATGGTTGGCATTGTTGTTAATGATCCTTTCTTATAAACACCAACATAATCCAATGAACCCTAAGCATAGCTTCTTGTTGGATCGATTCAGATATCCCTTGCCATAACTATTGTCAATCTCTTTATGTTTTTTGCCTTTCTGGTTCAATTTAGTGCCAAAGCTTTTGACCATATTATAGTTTGTTTTTGTATATTTTACCTGGTGTTGAAATGTTCTTGAAATTTGTTTGTTTCAAACGCAGGTGAACCATGAGGACTTTAATGAAGGTATTATTCAAGTCCAAGCAAAGAAGAAAGCAAGCCTGAATTATTATGCATAGGCGGGATGTGGAACAAGCTATTTTTCAGTTTACAGCGATCTATTGAGATATCTCGAGCCAATGGAAAACCTATGTGGATGTTTGGCATTTATTATCTTTCTCTTATTCTTTTGTCAATTTGTAGCCGTATGATATAAACCTATAGCATGCTATAATCATCGTATCTTTTAAAAATACAACCTGATCGTCAATTTGTTGTTAGTAATAGAAATTTAATCGGTTTGCAATGTCTAAAATCTTGTTCATCAGGCTAATATGATATTCGACATGGTAAACAAACAAGACTTGTGAAACTGAATATAATCAAAAAATGTATTTCAACCTGTGGACTTCACTTTTTATGCATCAACCGATTCAAGTTGTTTTCAAGCGGTCGAGCAATTGGATTTCTCTCTTACAAGAGGCAGTGTATTTTCAAAAATTATTTTGAAAATACACTTCAACTTTTATATAAAACCAGTCATGCGAGTACAAAAGCAAGGGAATGAGCACCAAGGGCTAGAAGATTTTAATCTATTTTGTTTTTATATAATGGCATTTTAAAATTTTGGGAAAGAGCATTTAATTTTGTCTTAATTGGTCTTTGAATTTTATCCTGTCTATGCACTTAAAAACTTTAATTGATTATTAAACTTTAAGTTTTTAAAATGTACACTTAAAACTTTCATTAGAATATATTTTTTAAAGCTTTTTTTATAAGCATTTTTTTTCTGGCAACTTGAGTTTAATAATAATAATAATAAGATTAGTTATAATCATAAAAGAAATTATATTACGATTATTATTTTTAAAAAGCCAAATATAAAATTTTCAAATTAAAAGAAAAATAGAATCTTTCATAATCAATCAAAATATCATATGGCTCGAACATTTGTAAATACAAATAAAATGCAAACAATTTGTAGTATAAATCCTTTTAATTTTTCTTTTAATAGTTGCATTTCAAAAATAATCTCTTTAACATGTAAAGTTGGATAATGTTAACTGCTTAGAAAAAAAAAAGGAGCACTTAATTATTTTCCTTTTACAAATAGATATTTTAAGCTTTAATTTTGTTCTAATTAATTCTTAACCTTTGAATTTGATTATTTATACTTTAACTTTAAAATGTTTAGTTATTATATTTAATATTATTATTGACTATTGCGAATAATTCTTTCTTATTTATTATTGAAAATATATTTGACATAAAACTGATTTTTATTAAAAATAATTATTATTTTCCATTCCTACAAATACTTAATAATGCTTTAAATACTTAATTAAGGTTTTATGTAACTCACCTTAATTACTTGATTAAATTTGTGTGTTCACCTTAATTAACGAATATGTTTTATATTGGGTTTAGATTCTTTCAATTAGGTGAGTATGAACTTTAAATTTTGACGAGAGTTCCGAAATAACTTTATATTTAACTACATTTTTATTTATGAAATATCCGTTACTGTTTATTATTTTAATTCAAAATTAGGAATGGTCATAAACAAGTTAAAAAGGTATCAACTATAGTTTGTTGAATTGGTATTAGATTCTATCTTTTTAAGTAAGATCTTAAGTTTGAATTTTGTTGATGGAAAATAGTAATCAATAAATGATCTTTAACTAAGAATAACGCCACGACAAGTTTACCTTACATAGATTATTAATTAACGAAATCTAGGACAACTAGAAAGAAGCTCATGATAAGTTAACATGTAAAACTTCTAACTTTTTTTTATTAAAATATATAAATTGAATGGTATTGCAAAAGTAAAACATATTTAAAACTTAAATAATATACAACTCACTTTAAAAATAAAAAATTATATACCAATAAAACATCTTCATTAGTTCATTAAAATTCACAAAATAATAATAATATAAATTAACAATAATAAGTTTAAATCTAGAACAGCAAATGACATATACTTTAATTTAATATTTTGTTTATTTTGTAAATCAAAGTGCTATTGTATTTATTATTTTTATTGATTCTCTTATGACCCTAATTTTATTAATGTTGTCTGACTTTCTGCAAATTTGATGGTTCTTTAGACGATTCTTTGACTCATGGAACAGATAATATGCACTGAATATATATATATATATATAAGGGTGCAGTGATTTTCATAACACGTGACATGATTAAGACCAATTTTCTTTTTGATCAACGTGACTTTCTAAAATGTATAATTTGACATCACAGAATAATACATAACACAGATTCATACGTTTTACCAGTTTCTCTGCACCAGTATCAAACCATTTTAAATTAAGTCTAGAAAATAAAACCTATTAAGAGCACAATTAATTGGACAAATAGAACAATGAGTCATAACCAAAACACATGTTCCTCTCATAAACAACCAAAGTAAAAACGGATACAGATCAAACTCTTTAACATAACCAAAACCAGAAAACACAAAACTAGATTAAAGACAGTATTTCTTGTATTAAGCTGATATACTGTAAACTGTATTGCATGTATTCAGCACTTGATTTCCTTCAAACCGTAGGCAAAGTAGACAAAGGTTGGATCAGTGGCTCCGTCTTTGTAGTAAGCAAAGACAAGGCTTCCATCATCTTGCATACTCTCACCCACAAAACTGCCACATTGATCATAGTAAGAAACCAGTTATGCATAAAGAAAAAGGACCATGTAATAAGGTATAAAACCAAAGAAGAAGAAGCACATACAATTGGAGGTCTTTCAGCTTTGAGAGAAGGAACTTAGTTGCTCCCTCAATGTGTTTCTTAAACAACTCTTGCTTCTCTGTCTCTAATTTCGGTGTCAGCAACTTTATGTATCTCTTCATGTAAGTCACGAATTGCTTTTTGTCAAAAGCTGGTTGCTCCTGAAAAACAAAAACAAAAACAAATTAACTATTTCTTCTGCAGAAGAAATCAACACACGGTTACTACCATAAAAGAAGGAATCATCCTTTTACCTGAAGCCTGAAAGTGTCAACAATATCAACCACTTTGACAGCTTGATCATCAACACCCTCATCCTCCCCTCCCCCTTCTGCAGAAGGGTTAGCACCAATATCTACATCCACTGCTCCTTGAACAACCCACTGCAGAAAAGCACACATTATTCACATAAGAACACACACTTTTAGATGCATTCACTCGGTTGAATGTTTTTGAAAATTATACAATTCGGTGAGTTCTGTAACTCATTTGAAGACTCTTCTCTGATTTTATAACTTTCAACAAATTTTAAACAATAAGAAAAAGTGAATTAGAGAGTGTTCCTAGCAATCTGCCATGCAAAGAAACAGAGATTCCGAATTATACAGATCATTCCCAACAAACCTTTCCTTCAACTTCCCACAGCATTCCATTCTCAATTTCCTTGTACGGGAATGAGTCAGAAAGAAGCTCGTCACCTGAAAATTCATCAACAAACCAAGTTTCCAAGTTAAACCCATTGAAAATTATGATCAAATCAATAAATCCTGAATAAAAGAAACCAAAAATCTTAATCCCTAATTCGCAAACACATTTAAAATCAAAATCATCTTTAGGCCAACAGCCCGTTATCCTTAGGGTCTAGGGATGGATTCAATTCAACTAACATAACTTACACTTGTATCACAAATACAACAATTGTCATTTAGAACAACAAAAAATTCAAAACTAAGGTTATGGAAAGTATTTTAAAAGGGTCCAAATCTGCACCATTAAAACTCAATTATTCAAACCACTATTGTAGCAGAAACAAGATATAAATTTCAAAAAAGAAAAAAATCTTCCTTCCACAACTGGCATACCTTCCTTCAAAANGTTAGAATTACTTAATCAGCTTGATGGTTTTAGCAGTGATGACAGGATTAAGGTTTACCTTTAATTCTTGTTATTTTTTATTTTCTGTTGATGTCATCCAACTATGCTTGTTGTCTTCCGGCAAAGAGTAAAAGTGCATGTAATTTTTTAAATCCAATGTTTTGGGGCTGGTTTCTTAATTCTATAACTTCCATTTATACCAATTTAAACCGTGAAAATATTCAGTAGTTGGCATCTAATTTTCTGGATTTTTTGTTATGTTAGGCAATAAGTTGAAGTTCCATTTTCTTATATTGATTTAAATTGCAGGTGATAGCAGCAACAAATCGTGCAGATATTCTTGACCCCGCCCTTATGCGTTCTGGTCGATTGGATCGTAAAATTGAGTTTCCACACCCAAGTGAAGAAGCAAGAGCCCGTATTCTCCAGGTTTGATGTCTTCAGACTTTATCTGCTGACATGTATTTCGAACAAAACATTTACTGACTGCTCTTACTTTGATATTTTAGATCCATTCAAGGAAGATGAATGTTCATCCAGATGTGAACTTTGAAGAACTCGCACGGTCCACGGATGATTTCAATGGAGCACAACTGAAGGCTGTCTGTGTTGAGGCTGGCATGTTGGCTCTACGCCGTGACGCAACTGAGGTTTATCTTCTTCCAGATAGGCTAAACTTAAATTAACATAAACATCAATGTTTGAAAGAAAATTAGCACCGTTATTTGTCTGGGCGATAGTAATGGTTGGCATTGTTGTTAATGATCCTTTCTTATAAACACCAACATAATCCAATGAACCCTAAGCATAGCTTCTTGTTGGATCGATTCAGATATCCCTTGCCATAACTATTGTCAATCTCTTTATGTTTTTTGCCTTTCTGGTTCAATTTAGTGCCAAAGCTTTTGACCATATTATAGTTTGTTTTTGTATATTTTACCTGGTGTTGAAATGTTCTTGAAATTTGTTTGTTTCAAACGCAGGTGAACCATGAGGACTTTAATGAAGGTATTATTCAAGTCCAAGCAAAGAAGAAAGCAAGCCTGAATTATTATGCATAGGCGGGATGTGGAACAAGCTATTTTTCAGTTTACAGCGATCTATTGAGATATCTCGAGCCAATGGAAAACCTATGTGGATGTTTGGCATTTATTATCTTTCTCTTATTCTTTTGTCAATTTGTAGCCGTATGATATAAACCTATAGCATGCTATAATCATCGTATCTTTTAAAAATACAACCTGATCGTCAATTTGTTGTTAGTAATAGAAATTTAATCGGTTTGCAATGTCTAAAATCTTGTTCATCAGGCTAATATGATATTCGACATGGTAAACAAACAAGACTTGTGAAACTGAATATAATCAAAAAATGTATTTCAACCTGTGGACTTCACTTTTTATGCATCAACCGATTCAAGTTGTTTTCAAGCGGTCGAGCAATTGGATTTCTCTCTTACAAGAGGCAGTGTATTTTCAAAAATTATTTTGAAAATACACTTCAACTTTTATATAAAACCAGTCATGCGAGTACAAAAGCAAGGGAATGAGCACCAAGGGCTAGAAGATTTTAATCTATTTTGTTTTTATATAATGGCATTTTAAAATTTTGGGAAAGAGCATTTAATTTTGTCTTAATTGGTCTTTGAATTTTATCCTGTCTATGCACTTAAAAACTTTAATTGATTATTAAACTTTAAGTTTTTAAAATGTACACTTAAAACTTTCATTAGAATATATTTTTTAAAGCTTTTTTTATAAGCATTTTTTTTCTGGCAACTTGAGTTTAATAATAATAATAATAAGATTAGTTATAATCATAAAAGAAATTATATTACGATTATTATTTTTAAAAAGCCAAATATAAAATTTTCAAATTAAAAGAAAAATAGAATCTTTCATAATCAATCAAAATATCATATGGCTCGAACATTTGTAAATACAAATAAAATGCAAACAATTTGTAGTATAAATCCTTTTAATTTTTCTTTTAATAGTTGCATTTCAAAAATAATCTCTTTAACATGTAAAGTTGGATAATGTTAACTGCTTAGAAAAAAAAAAGGAGCACTTAATTATTTTCCTTTTACAAATAGATATTTTAAGCTTTAATTTTGTTCTAATTAATTCTTAACCTTTGAATTTGATTATTTATACTTTAACTTTAAAATGTTTAGTTATTATATTTAATATTATTATTGACTATTGCGAATAATTCTTTCTTATTTATTATTGAAAATATATTTGACATAAAACTGATTTTTATTAAAAATAATTATTATTTTCCATTCCTACAAATACTTAATAATGCTTTAAATACTTAATTAAGGTTTTATGTAACTCACCTTAATTACTTGATTAAATTTGTGTGTTCACCTTAATTAACGAATATGTTTTATATTGGGTTTAGATTCTTTCAATTAGGTGAGTATGAACTTTAAATTTTGACGAGAGTTCCGAAATAACTTTATATTTAACTACATTTTTATTTATGAAATATCCGTTACTGTTTATTATTTTAATTCAAAATTAGGAATGGTCATAAACAAGTTAAAAAGGTATCAACTATAGTTTGTTGAATTGGTATTAGATTCTATCTTTTTAAGTAAGATCTTAAGTTTGAATTTTGTTGATGGAAAATAGTAATCAATAAATGATCTTTAACTAAGAATAACGCCACGACAAGTTTACCTTACATAGATTATTAATTAACGAAATCTAGGACAACTAGAAAGAAGCTCATGATAAGTTAACATGTAAAACTTCTAACTTTTTTTTATTAAAATATATAAATTGAATGGTATTGCAAAAGTAAAACATATTTAAAACTTAAATAATATACAACTCACTTTAAAAATAAAAAATTATATACCAATAAAACATCTTCATTAGTTCATTAAAATTCACAAAATAATAATAATATAAATTAACAATAATAAGTTTAAATCTAGAACAGCAAATGACATATACTTTAATTTAATATTTTGTTTATTTTGTAAATCAAAGTGCTATTGTATTTATTATTTTTATTGATTCTCTTATGACCCTAATTTTATTAATGTTGTCTGACTTTCTGCAAATTTGATGGTTCTTTAGACGATTCTTTGACTCATGGAACAGATAATATGCACTGAATATATATATATATATATAAGGGTGCAGTGATTTTCATAACACGTGACATGATTAAGACCAATTTTCTTTTTGATCAACGTGACTTTCTAAAATGTATAATTTGACATCACAGAATAATACATAACACAGATTCATACGTTTTACCAGTTTCTCTGCACCAGTATCAAACCATTTTAAATTAAGTCTAGAAAATAAAACCTATTAAGAGCACAATTAATTGGACAAATAGAACAATGAGTCATAACCAAAACACATGTTCCTCTCATAAACAACCAAAGTAAAAACGGATACAGATCAAACTCTTTAACATAACCAAAACCAGAAAACACAAAACTAGATTAAAGACAGTATTTCTTGTATTAAGCTGATATACTGTAAACTGTATTGCATGTATTCAGCACTTGATTTCCTTCAAACCGTAGGCAAAGTAGACAAAGGTTGGATCAGTGGCTCCGTCTTTGTAGTAAGCAAAGACAAGGCTTCCATCATCGTGCATACTCTCACCCACAAAACTGCCACATTGATCATAGTAAGAAACCAGTTATGCATAAAGAAAAAGGACCATGTAATAAGGTATAAAACCAAAGAAGAAGAAGCACATACAATTGGAGGTCTTTCAGCTTTGAGAGAAGGAACTTAGTTGCTCCCTCAATGTGTTTCTTAAACAACTCTTGCTTCTCTGTCTCTAATTTCGGTGTCAGCAACTTTATGTATCTCTTCATGTAAGTCACGAATTGCTTTTTGTCAAAAGCTGGTTGCTCCTGAAAAACAAAAACAAAAACAAATTAACTATTTCTTCTGCAGAAGAAATCAACACACGGTTACTACCATAAAAGAAGGAATCATCCTTTTACCTGAAGCCTGAAAGTGTCAACAATATCAACCACTTTGACAGCTTGATCATCAACACCCTCATCCTCCCCTCCCCCTTCTGCAGAAGGGTTAGCACCAATATCTACATCCACTGCTCCTTGAACAACCCACTGCAGAAAAGCACACATTATTCACATAAGAACACACACTTTTAGATGCATTCACTCGGTTGAATGTTTTTGAAAATTATACAATTCGGTGAGTTCTGTAACTCATTTGAAGACTCTTCTCTGATTTTATAACTTTCAACAAATTTTAAACAATAAGAAAAAGTGAATTAGAGAGTGTTCCTAGCAATCTGCCATGCAAAGAAACAGAGATTCCGAATTATACAGATCATTCCCAACAAACCTTTCCTTCAACTTCCCACAGCATTCCATTCTCAATTTCCTTGTACGGGAATGAGTCAGAAAGAAGCTCGTCACCTGAAAATTCATCAACAAACCAAGTTTCCAAGTTAAACCCATTGAAAATTATGATCAAATCAATAAATCCTGAATAAAAGAAACCAAAAATCTTAATCCCTAATTCGCAAACACATTTAAAATCAAAACCATCTTTAGGCCAACAGCCCGTAATCCTTAGGGTCTAGGGATGGATTCAATTCAACTAACATAACTTACACTTGTATCACAAATACAACAATTGTCATTTAGAACAACAAAAAATTCAAAACTAAGGTTATGGAAAGTATTTTAAAAGGGTCCAAACCTGCACCACAAAAACTCAATTATTCAAACCACTATTGTAGCAGAAACAAGATATAAATTTCAAAAAAGAAAAAAATCTTCCTTCCACAACTGGCATACCTTCCTTCAAAAAATGATTAGTCTAAAGAAGAAAAGGAATTACAATCAAAGTGGGTCACACGAATAATCTAAAAAAAAATCCTACAATATCACAAAAGTGCACAGAAAAAGAAACCCAATAAGGTAACAAAGAGAAAGAAACAACAAGTTCTGAAATTGAGGGAAAAAACAATTATACCTGTAAGAAGATCCTGGTAGACAAGCATGGTTATAGTTGTTGTTGTTGTTGTTTGTCTCTGATTCTGAAAATACAGGAAGCAGAGCAGAAAAAAAATTGAAGGTCCCGGAAAAGAAGCAGAGGCGACGAGCTTTTATAGAATAATTGGTGAGAAGGTGCTGATATTTCTTTTAGATTACAGAAAATAGTTCCTGATTTTTCTCACGGACAAATCCTTATATTATGATCCCATTATACTACTGATTTTTTTTTTCTTACTTCTTATTTTTGTTAACAAAATCTAAACAATACAAGGTGAATACTGCTACAATATTTTTGGAAATCTTCATAAAACCAGGGAATTAAAAATTGAAGGTAAGATTATTTCTTATCTTTTGGTTTTTAGTACATAATACCAATCCTTATTTTAATATAATAAATATATTTTATTTTAATCTAATGAATATCTTTTTCATGTGATAATCAATGTTTAGTTGAAGTTCCGCATGTAAATTAAGAAACTATATTTGATGTTTTTAACCACTTGAGTATATAGTGAGAAAGATTGTAATGAAATTTAGATAACAAGATTGTAAGAAGAAACAAGCATTTAGATATTTGAGTTTTGAAATAAATATAATATGCATGGAAACTTTTATAATTTTATTTTTATTTTTCTGTTGCCTGAATGTGTGATTTCTTTTAATTCCTATTTTTATATAAAAAAAACTCACATTTTAAAAATAAATTGTTTGTGCTTTTTGCTTTTTATTAATTATTAACTAATATAATCTTTTATCTCTTTCCTTGTCAAAAATTGTTTTTCATTGTTTCCATGCTTCCTTCCTTATCTCTATTATTTAATATATTTAATCTCTCTATTTAAACTAATTTGACCATTTTATCTTTTAATTCATGGAAAATTTCTATGAACATTTTAGAATAAGTTATCTTTTGTCTCTTACTTGTTTTTAATCTTTTAATCAGTTTAGTTAATATTTTCATACTTTTAGCTTTTGACTCTATTGATCATATTTTGATATATATATTGAAACAGATAATTGGTATTTAGCTTTCATTTTAATTCAATTTTTCATATTGTTGGTTATTATATTTAGATGAAAAATATATTTTCAAAACTTATCGTTGAAATATATATATTCACATAAATTATATCTAAAAAATCGTATTAACTGAATTATTTAAGTGCATGTTTTTAAAGTATAAAAATATATGATTGATTTGATTAAATTTTGTCTGCCAG